TTAGCACACAAGAACAATTCATATTGCATTCTTTCTTTCTGGTTATTTCATACATTACAACACCAATCTATTTCAATTCAATACAACAGCTCTGCCATTAGTTCAACTTTTGTTCCGTTTTTATGTTTAATGTCGTAAATGTTAGCCTGCCTCCCCTCCTCCTTCAAGGCACCCTTTCACAGCCTTCAGCATCATTACCACTCTGGATATAGTTCCCCAAGTCACCGGCATGAAAACCTCAACCTCCATTCCTGGATCCCATGTCCTCCACTGTTGTCAAGGCCTGCCTCCGCAAACTCACTCCTCTGATCACGTGTCACGTATCATTCAGAATTTACTGAAATGAATTCAACCACAGCGGATTTGAAAAATCACATATGACACAAAAAGGAATTGAAACTAGAGAACAATTAACTCAATCTTTATTTAGTTTTGAATAAAGTGAAATAATGGTAAAATCAGTGTCACATGTATCGCTTATCTTCTCTGGGGATCAACATCCCGGGATCCGTGTCGAAAATACATATACAGTACAGAATAAAAATACAAAGTATAGTATGTCAAAAATCGACATACACCTCTTTCGAAAATATTTAAATAAACGACGTAGTAAAGTATGTCCTGCATGTCGAAGTAAAGAAAATCCAATGACCAAAACATACACTGACCAAACCCCCATATCCCTCTATTTCAGGCCTTTTAGAGAACTGCAGGTTCGGGGTCCTTAGCTTAAAAAAAAAAAAGAGGAGGGGGAGCTAATGCCTGCTCAGAATTATACGAGAAACAGCTAAATGCTGCCGTGATGAAACGCCACATCATATTCCAAACCACATCAAGGATTATTTATGAAACAGTATGGAGCTCAAATTATTTTTCTCTTGCTGGTTTACTACGGGTTTATTTCCTGCCTTTTTACACATACTCTCTCCAGTAAAGGTTAGCGATGCTTGCTAATGTAAACAAAGACGATATTACGTCCAAAACACGGCGGGCATTGTTTCTGATGGAAACGTTTCTGATAGTGCCGTGGGTCCACATTTCCGATATTACGTCATATCGGACGCAAATCTAGTATAGTACGTCTAAAAAATATTTTTAAGCGACCTAGTATAGTATGTCAAAAATATTGGAAAAAACGACATAGTATTGGAACAATTGAAGAGAAATTGTACATTAAAATGTCATGTCTTCATTATCCTTATAAATATGAATACATTGTTGCTGAAACAGAGAGCAGAAGAATATCTCCCATATGGTCTAGCGCAGTGGTTCTCAAACTTTTTCTGTCAGGCCCCCCCTTTGGAGAAAAAAAAAAGTCGGGTCCCCCCCCAACACAAATAGTCAGGCTCAGTGGCGGCGCCAGAGATTTCTTTTGGGGGTGCTGTGGGGTAGCTTGACGTTTCATAGAGGGTGCTCAAACATTTAGGGTTTCCCATTAATGACCCGGGCGCTACAGTGTAATTTTCTAATGCAACAATCCCCACGCATATACACAATGTACCCGCGACTCTTACAATGAAGGCTCGATA